CCAGGAAATAATTCATAAAAAATGGCACAACAAAAGCAATAATACTCCTTAATAGACGAGGAAACTGAGGTCATTAGTAATTACACACCTATGACCATAGATATATAACAAATATCATACCTGACCCTGCCTCTGCCGGCCCTTTTTAACTTTGTTGTGCTTGATTCGAAATGAGCTCTCAACATAAGGAAGAATAAAAACTTCATATTTATTAGAATACAAATGGAGATGCTTCAACTCCCTTGTGGCAATGTCGAAAGTAAGTATTTCACCCTTGGAATCCCTAACAAATACCATATTTCCATTGACAAGAGCCACCAGCTGCTCAGCATCAGCAGCAGCAGGCACGGCATCAGTTTCAACCGGCACTCGGGCCCACGACACGTCATCATCATCCCATTTCCAGATCTCAAACTTTCTAGGATGCGGACGATTAATCAAATGCGCAGTACGGTCGTAAACAACAACTGCAAACGAGCCATCAAGTTCGGCAAAACAACAATTACAAAGGAGAAACAAATCAGTTGGGGGCATCGGAAAATGCCCAAATTCCTCAGTAGCAAAGTTGAAGGTCATGATCATATCATCGGCCCGCCAATAGAAAACGCCGTTTATGTGAAGGGTAAAATAGGGAATTGGTTCGGTCACAGAAGCATCGATTGCCTTCCAGGAATTAGTTTTGAGCGAGTAGAGCTCAATTCGGCGGTCACAACATATGTCATCGTCTTGTAGAAAAGTCCAGAAGAAAAACCCAATCACCTTGTAATCCTGAGCCGCGGGATCGAACCCCAAACCATAGACCATATGTCTGAGATTGATGTTGGAAGATCCGGCGGGCAGATAGAAGATGGATTTAGGAAGGGATTTGATCTGACCGGTGGTAGGGTTCCAGAGAGCCGGGATCTGACAGCCGGGATCTGTAGTCGCCAGAATCAACGAATTGCAACTGGCATAAGGAAGAAAATATTTGTGGCGGCTTTTAACGTGGAGATCACTGTGCTTCCAGGAGAGGCCGTCGTCGGTTGAGAAACGATGATAATAAATGGAATCCTCGTGTTCACGCGCCATCAGAAGCTTCTGGGATTGGTTGTGCCCTGTTAGATAGCTCATCAACCTCCTCGGAGTATATGTCTCTCGAGGATATTGCAGCGGATTTGACGAGAATTTGGATGTGGAATTGAATTTTGCGCAGATTATCCTCGTGGATTTCAAGAGGATTCCCATGTTTTGGGTATGGAAGAGTAGCAAGCGCTTGTGCGTTGCCGCCCCGCCTGAGTGCAGCGCAAGTTAGGTTAGCGCAGCATATCAGCCGCAAGATTTTTTTATTTTATTTTTTTTCAGCCGCAAGATTATACGCAGGAAGAAATTCTAGTGTCTTATACCCTTAAATAAAGCTACAATAATTCTATTGAGTCATCTAGTTTTACAATGTCATTGACAACAGTTTACGTGGAAAATAATTACTTACTTTATTAT